TTACATAATAATTACTGTTACTGTCTATCATTGTCTAAATGTATTTTTACTGTCTAAATATATGTATTCAGTTAGTGTAAACATGCACGATGCTATCACAGCGAATGCGAGGCTGAGACTGAAGCTTTATTCTTTTTTTCCGCTGAGAGACGTGCCGCGTGACTCATTTCCCCGCGCGTACAAGATATCTTAGGTCGGCGACTTCTGAGATTCAGATCGAGTCATTTTTTTTCGAACTGGTTGGTTCGACTTAAAATTCGAGTTCTAATGAGTTTGAGTACTGAGGTACCGCTGTACTTGAAAAGTTAAGGTGAACTACCCTACACAAAAAATCCACTGTAGTTATACTTTTTTATTTTTCCAAAAAATTCTCAGGTTATGAGAATGACCCAGTCACAGGTCAGAGGGATAATTTTGGGACTGAATGTCTACAGTAAGTCTGGACACCACGATGAGGCCACGTGGCGGATGAGTGACCTGAGAGCCCAAAGGAGACCCCCCCCCCCCCCGAATACCTTGAACTGCAGGGTGTATCCAGGTCGCAGGGACAGGTCCCGAGTGACGGCCACCCGGTCCCCGTCGGAGCGGCCGAACACCATGGCGGAGGGCGTGGGGGCACAGAAGCTGCCGTTGCCCTCCTTATCCATGCCCTCGTTGCCCAGACGAAGCCAGACGCTCATCTGATTCAGTGGGTAATCAAACGCCGGCTTCTCATAGAAGTTCTGGGGGGGGGCAGCAGGTGTCACACTCAGGCAGCGGACAGACAGCCTCTGGGGGATTTCGGGTCCCCCAGATCAGTGACCACCCTCCCACAGCCTGGAATATCCTTCAGGCAGTGACCATTGGCTAATGATGAGGTAATGATGAGGTTGCCCCCTCTGTATGAATTATGCCCCTTTTTTGCCTACAACCCCCTAACCTGGGGAAGGGTGGGGCTGGCCACGGGGACGATCTGCTTCTCCCGCTCGGACAGGATGATGATGTCATCGATGGCCCACTGGTCGTAGCCCTCGCCAGAGTGGAGGGGCTGCCACCAGCGGAAGCGTGTGCTGGGCGTCTTGGCGGCTTGGGGCAGCTCATAGTGAACGAAGCTGCGGAGAAAATAGGAAGAGGAGGGTCTCTCTGAACCAGCGGCACCAATGACCAAGTGGCCTCTGCAGACACACTGCCTCTCACACCCAATCATGTGGAAGGTATAATGTATGATGTTAATCACAGACATTTCTAACTGCAGCTTTATTATTAACTTCAGTTTTTTTATCTACAGTGAGGGAAAATCTGACCCCCTGCAGAATTCTTAAGTTGACCCATTAATAAAGAAAGGAGAAGTCTATAATTTCACTGGTTTATTTTAACAGCAAAAGACAACAAAAAAATCATTATGTAACAAGTTACCAACCAATTTGTCATTTATCTAGGGAAATACGTATTTGATCCCTTGGAACACAGGCTTTAGTACTCGGTGGAGTAACCATTGTTGCCAAGCACAGCTGTCAGACGTTTCTTGCAGTTGGTCACCAGGTTGGCACGCAGCTCAGCAGGAATTCTCATCCACTCCTCTTTGCAGACCTCCTCCAAATCTTTAAGGTTTTTAGGCTGATACTATGGGATTAAGGTCTGGAGACTGGCTAGGGCGCTCCAAGCTGTATGCTTAGGGTTGTTGTCTTGCTGGGAGACCCACCCGCAATGTCCTGGCTGAAGGAAGGAGGTTTTCATCCAAGATTTTACGGTACATGGCCCCATCCATCTTTCCTTTAATGCGGTGCAGCTGTCCTGTACCCTTGGCAGAAAACCCCCCCAAAGCTTAATGCTTCCACCTCTGTGTTTGACAGTAGGGATGGTGTTCCAGGGGTTATAGTGAGCATACTTTACACGGCAAGTAGAATTGATGCCAAACAGCTCGAGTTCGGTCTTGTCTGACCACAACACATTATTCAAAGCCTCACTGGATTTATTCAGGTGTTCACTGGCATAATTCAGAAGGGCCTGAACATGGGCCCTCTTGAGCAGGTGTTCACTGGCATACTTCAGAAGGGCCTGAACTTGGGCCCTCTTGAGCAGGTGTTCACTGGCATACTTCAGAAGGGCCTGAACATGGGCCTTCTTGAGCAGGTGTTCACTGGCATACTTCAGAAGGGCCTGAACATGGGCCCTCTTGCGCTGCAGGATTTCAAACCATAACTGCATATTGTGCTAACAAAGGTTTTCTTGGTGACTGTGGTCTCTGCTGCTTTGAGATCATTAACAAGCTCCTCCCGTGTAGTTCTGCGGTTAGCCTTCACCATCCATAAGGTCATTGATGCCACATGAGATGAGATCTTCCTTGGGGCCCCAGACCAACAGTGGTCACTTTCTCACCAAGCTGCTAGCTGATGGTCATGTAGCTCATTCCATCTTTGTGATGGTCAACAATCTTGCCTCTGATGTCCTTAGACAGTTCTTTGGTATTTCCCATGGTGATAAGGTTGAAGATGTATACAGGTTAGTGACCCAGGAATACTATTCAATAAAGTAATGCCATTAAATGTGAATGCTGGCTTGGTATCTGTTAATACTTAAGTACTACTTGTGTTATGTTAGTGCACATGCACTTCACCTAATTTCTTGCTGGCTTGTAGGGGATTAAATAATTATTTTGCTAGATAAATGACATTGATTTGTACCTGTTACATAATGATTTTTTGGTTTTTATGGTTTGTTTTGTTAAAACCCCATCTTGGTTGTGCCCAATATCATGCCCAGTGCTGCCTGGCATAGACTTCAGGTCCAACAGCCCAGGAAGGATAAGTGGATGGATGATGGATAGATGGATGAATGGATGGATTGATGGATGGTTTGATGGATGGATGGATGGATGAATGATGGATGGACGGTTTGATGGATGGATGGATTGATGGATGGTTTGATGGATGGATGGATGGTTTGATGTATGGATGGATGATGATGGATGGATGAATGATGGATGGTTGAATAGATGCTGTGACAATAAGCCACGCCCCCTTGGCACCCCTGCCCTCCCTCACCGGGGCTTAGTGAAGTCCGTGAAGTACATCTCAGCGATGAGGCCCCAGCTGATTCCGCCGTCATTGCTGTACTGCAGCAACACGCCCTCCTCCCTGCTGTCGGCATGGTTACATTCCGCCCAATCCCCACCCACGCGCAGGTAGAACTGCACATACTCCGCCCACTCGGTGTCCAGGTCCCAGCTCACCAGCTGCCTCAGCCCATCCTGTTGGCAAGAATGGGACAAAAATGGCAGAAGAGAACCCTCTTTGCCTCGCGATGAGAGTAACACGCAGAGGAAATCGCGGGCCAGTGGGCGGGACGACAAGGGACCCACACCTTGCTGAAGTAGAGTGAGGATCCGGACGAGATGACCCCACAGCCCTGGTCGGGGGTCACTACCTCTCCACCAATCACCTCCTGCCACGACGTGAGAAGTGCACCCTGGGATTCGAAGTCCGAGAGGATGCTGGAGGCAAGTGGAGACGAGGGATGACAGTCCGGGCCTGAGAATCCATCATCACACCTAAGAGAGGGAGAAAGGAGGAGGAGCAAGTGTACATTTTAACTTAAGGAGCTCAGAGGGGGCGGGGAGTGTCTGAGGGGCTGCTTGCTCAGGTACACTGAGCTCTGTTGGTTGGTATATCTGTGAGCTGGTGAGGCACCACCCACCTGCAGTGCGCGTGGTCGCACCAGCCATGCCCCCGGCACATGTACGGACACTGCTGCCCGATATAGATGTCATCCAGGGCCCAGTCGTCCTGCTCGCCGTAGTAGTTCTGGATCCACCGGAAGCGCGTGGCACTTGACCTAAAGCCAGGAGCGAAAACAGGCAAACAGCCCTTAACAGGAGGAGTGCAGGAGCTGAGAGAAAGGCATTCTGGGAGCCCCAGGCAGTGTGTAAACCGCGGGAGGATGATCACATATCTCTGAGCGCTGTTCCCTCTGCTCCTCAGCGACTCTCAGTGATGATTCCTGTGACAGCTGCCATGCGTCTGTAATGCTGAGCGATGATCGTTCTGCTACCCCGCCAAAGTGATTTATGGATGTTGTCTTCACAGTGCCTATCCCAACATGCCTGACCTCCACGTGCTGATGGGGCGGAGTTTGGGGACTGAGGGAGTGGGCGGGGCCACATGTTTCCCGCTTCATTGGCCACCTGAGCTATTGCACAGCGACCCCTGACCCCAATCTGTGCTCAGCAAGCTGAAGCAGCTCCCTTAATCTCCATTTACATGCTGGACCACCGTGAACCCAGAGCGGAAGGCAGTGAATCAGGATACTGTCATTTAGAAGTCGGGGAGGGGGCAGAGGGGGCTCAGGTTTGGAAAATATGTCTCCATATCAAGGCATCCCTTGAAGAACTGGGAGGGGAGGTTTGAGGGTGAGAGTTTCCTGCTGGCCCCCTAGTGGACAGAGAGTGCACAGCATCCATCATTGACCCAACCTGGAATCTGAACCTCCTGTATGAATTTGTTCCTTCTTTCTATAACTATAAACTATAAACTTTAAACTATTTAAACAGCTGGATATTTTATTGGATCAAGCAAGAACCCCACCCTGGGAGCCACAGGTTAGCACTCCTTAGTCGCTATGCCACCTGCAGGCCGTGACTGTGTCATGTGATCATGTGACTAATGGAGCTCTGTGATAGGTTCCCAGCCCATGCAGTGGGTGTGGTTTGTGCCCGTGTAAGTCTGCACAAGCGCCTTACTCACCACGTCTTGTGCGGCAGTGGCATGGTGACCCTCCTCCAGTCGTTGAACTCGGAAGGGTGGTACACGCTGGGGGCCGTAAACTCAGGGCAGCTCGGCATCCCGGGCAGGCAGGCCTGGAGGTACGAAACGACATGAGGTCACCATGCGTCTGTTACCTGCAGTACGCTGAAGCCCCAAACATCTGCTCCACCCCAGAGCGCACGGACAGTGCCTGCTTCAGAACCCCTGTTGGCTGTTGTGGGCGGGGCCTCACCTCTTTGACCAGGTGCCAGGTGAGGCCATGATTGGTGGAGAACTCCAGGCGGACCTGGGTGTCGATGTTGGGAGACGGATCTCGGCCGCAGCCCATCACCAGGGAGAACTGCAGGCTGTAGGAGGCGCCGATCTGCATGGACTGGGTCTCCACGTAGCGGATGCTAGAGCCGGGACTGGGCGGGCCGGAGAAGCTGAGGGAGGGGCCAAAGAGGAGCCAATGAGCAGCTGGATGAAGACCCCACAAGTCTTTTTGGTGGTTTCCGAGTCTTTGTGATGAGATTTATGCTGTCGTGTGCTTTACGGGGGATATGGACCAGCCAGCGATTTTATGTACGTTTTATAGTTGCATTTACTTAAACAGAAGCTTTTATCCAAAACAATGTACATTTTTTAGAAAGCATTTGGGGTTAAGGGCATTCCTCAAGAGCGGTGACCCAACGATGACATCATCTGAACTCGTGACCATCTGATCACAGACACAAAGTCCTAACCCACTAAGTGACACACTGACATCAGACGCCTAGCTATACTACATTACCCAGTCCTGAAGGATATCAGTAACCTTTGACCTCATCCACCATGCATTACTCAGGTGGTCCCCAGCTGTAGGTACCTCAGAGTCCAGTCATGGTCACAGTAGGGCTGCACTTGTCCCAGGTAGAAGCCCAGGCTCTGGGTGACATCCAGAACATTGCTGAAGTCCAGGCTTATGGTGTTGAAGAGCACCGAGGTCATGGAGATCTCATCCAGCGCCCACACATCCTGGCCACGGCCCGAGTGGTACGGCTGCCACCAGCGGAACTGCACTCCGAACTTACGTGCACCGGGCGGCATCTCCACGGAGATGATCCTGGTGGGGGGGGGGGTTAGCCACACGTACAACTCTTCCACCACACTCCCCCCTGAAGCGTCACCCTAGAGACACCACGCCACCCCCCACCCGTTACGCTATGTGCTTAAGCCTCGTTTATCTTCATTAAGGCCAGAGATGGTGCTGAGTAACTCAGTGGGTCCCAGTTAGCACTGTCTCTCTACTGGTGTGGAACTGCCCTTACCAGAAAGACAGACAGACAGACACACACACATACACACACATACAGACAAAGATACACACACACAGATACACACACACACACACACAGACAAAGATACACACACACAGATACACAGACACAAAGACATAGATACACACAAACAGCCACACACAGATATACACACAGAGATACACAGACACACAGACATAGATACACACACACAGCCACACACAGATACACAGACACACAGACATAGATACACACACACAGAATGGCCCGCCTCACCTGGGCTCGTGGAAGCCCTGATAGGCATAGTGCTGCAGCAGCGTCCAGGTGATGCCGTTATCTGACGAGTAGTGGAGCAGGACGCCCTCTCCAGGCTGATCAGGGGCAGGGCAGGAGCTCAGGGCGCTGCGACTTCCCAGCCGCAGGGTGAACTGGAGATACCTGTGGGTACAAGTGGGGGCATGAGAAAAAGAGAAGGAACAAGGAGACCGGGGAGACACCGGGGAGGCACCGGAGAGGCACCGGGGAGGCACCGGGGAGACACCGGGGAGGCACCGAGGAGGCACCGGGGAGACAACGGGGAGGCACCGGGGAGACACCGGGGAGACACCGGGGAGGCACCGGGGAGACAACGGGGAGGCACCGGGGAGGCACCGGGGAGACACCGGGGAGACACCGGGGAGGGCGGAGCTGCAGGTGGGAGCCTCTATTTGGGTAAAATTCAAAAAGAGTTTTACTGATTTTTTTTCTCAGCACAGCAAACAAATCAGCAATAAAGCATAACAAAACAGGAATGTACATTTCCCTGGGAAATGACAGCCCCTCGTATGATAATGATTATTTCGGAGGCCCCCTGCCTCCATCAGCGAGCGGATTCATCTCTGCAGTCCTGCAGACGCACAGCCAGGTGGCTCCAGCTCGCCGCATCTACAGGAAGCGGCTTTAATCGCGGCTTTAATCGCGGCCAGCGTGGCGACTGCGTGGCGGCTGCGTGGCGGCTGCGTGGCGGCTGCGTGGCGGCTGCGTGGCGGCTGCGTGGCGGCTGCGTGGCGGCTCTGCACGTGCTCGGGGGGGGGGGCTGATATTAAACACAGGCATCACTGCGAGTCCAGCTACGTGGTATCAATCCTGCGCAGATGAGCCCCCCCTGCCATCTCCATCCATTTTATGCACCAGGAGGACAAACGCAAGCGGATGACAAAAGACCAGAAAACAGACTGGCTTTAATCTGGGGGGGGGGGGGCAACCTGGCTGTGTCAGACACACTGTGTATCTTATTTCAGATCCGCCAGTTGCCACACGAATGGCATTACGTTTGTCTATTTCCCAGACATTCCAAACTCCAAACTGATGTAAAATTGAGAAAGCAGGGTCACATGGTTCCTGAAGCACCACCCCATTGTATCACTGATCTATGAAAATCAGCTTCCTTTTGTGGCCGGGGATCAGAATCCTTCTCTGGACGCCTTCAGAGTCTCGGTGTCTCGGGTTTCCATCATCCCTGGACATCGGTATCTCCGCGTGACCTGCAGTCACGCCTCCCCCTACCTGGCCTGGCTGCTGTCCAGCGGCGAGGTGACCAGGTGCCGCCGGGTGTCACGGTTGAAGACCAGCGCCTTGCCGGCGGCCAGCACACCACAGCCGAAGCTGACCTCGGCACCACGCAGCGAGGAGAAGCTGTGGTATGAGGAGAGGCGTGTGCTGGAGAAGCCCTCCGACAAAAAGGCCGGGTAGTTCTGAGAGGCCAGCTCACAGGCGGGACCGCTGAAGCCGGGGTCACACCTGGGGAGGCATGATCGGGTCACCCTCCTACTCTGAAAGCACCTAAGCAAGCAGGTATAACCAGAACAAGAAAAGGCGTGATTGATCTGGGGTTCGATGGCTGGTAGACACATACTTGCAGCCAGTACGAGAGCAGTGTCCTCTCCCAGAGCAGAAACGGAGGCAAGACGGGCCGATGTACACTGCAAGACAGAGAGACAGGGAGGGTTGGGAGATTAGTCCTTCCAGAGCATGTGGTGTACACTGCAAGCCTGGAAAACAGAGTGCTAGGATTATACACTGTAAGGGATGAGTCATCCATAAGGGTGATGTATACTGCAAGACAAGCATACAGTATTTGAGAAATTACTCTTTCAGTAGAGTGTGACAAAAACTGCAAGACAGACAGTGTGGATGGGAATAGTCTTTCCTTAAATTGTGTTATACACGGCAAGATAGGCAATATGAGAGGGATCAGTCTTTCCATGGGGTATGACATACACTGCAAAGCAGACAGTATGTGGGGATTAGTTATTCCCCATTCAATGTACATTGCAAACAAACTGACAGTGTGTTGGGGATCAGTCCTCCCTTAGTAGACATACACTGTCAAACAGACCACATGGTAGGGATTAGTCATTCATTGGCGTATGTACACCGCCAATAGACGTGACACGAGGAATTAGTCCCTTCTTTGTGGATGTACTCTGCCGAACTGTATGTGAGGGATTAGTTCTTCCTTAATGGATGTACACTGCCAAACAGACAGCATGTGAGGGATTAACCCTTCTTTACTGGATGTGCACTGCCAAACAGACAGTGTGTGAGTGATTAGCCCTTCTTTACTGGATGTGCACTGCCAAACAGACAGCGTGTGAGGGATTAACCCTTCTTTACTGGATGTGCACTGCCAAACAGACAGTGTGTGAGTGATTAGCCCTTCCTTAGTGGCTGTATACTACCAAACAGACAATGTGTGAGGGATTTGTCATTCTTTATTCTATGTACATTGAACAACACACAGATGGTATGTGAGGGAGTTGTCCTTCCTTGTTGGGTATACATTGCAAGACCAGAAAGATATTTTAGATATGCATGATGACATAGCAAGTAAAGATTTTTATTGAGAAAACGGTTACAGATTATATGCAGTTTATGGAGGATGAACTGCACTGTTGGAAACAGAAGGAAACTGCCTACCATTGTCAATGGCCCACATGGTGCTCGTGCCCAGCCCAGTCTGTTTCCAGCGGAACCGTGTGCTGTCCGTCAAGGCTGCATTGGGCAGAGGAATGGATATCCTGGTCCACCTACAGGGGGAGATATCAAAAATAAACAAAGCCTTGCACACCCAAACAGTGACACAGGTTACACAGACGCCCATGGGCTAAAGGCAGAGGCATACTGACCCACTGTAGTTCTCAGAGGAGTAGATGGTGCTGTGGGCCAGGTGGGGTCCAGCACAGAGTTCTGGCAGGCACTCAATGTGCAGGAGGGACCAGGAGCGACCGTGATTGGTGGAAAACTCAAGGCTGACACTGTGACACCCACATGACCGCAAAGACAAACCAGACACCAAAATCTTAGGAGATCTGTAGGTCTGTATAAGATATAGTCACTGAGAAACTGATGCCAAGCCTCTTTCTTTTAACACAGCTGGTCGTGTCTCTGTTTATAAATGTGACAGCAGGTGCTCAATGAAATACAAGGTATGGAAAAGATGGGGCCTGTTTGACAGTCACCTGCAGCCATATGCACAAGACATAAGGAGATTTCCTGGCATTTGAATGTAGCATTGATGTAAATCAGCCATTTGCTCATTTAACAACCGACAGCAGAGACCAGGAATCTGAGCGGCACAGGCTCAGCCACTGGCAGTGACATGAGGGCAACCCGAGGCCCCACCGCCACTCTACCTGTTGGCCGGCTGGTAGGAGCCGCAGCCCAGGTTGATGGAGAACTGGGCCACGTGCGTGTGGGTGCTGGGCAGCAGGGGCAGCAGCTGCATGAAGTCCACAGCCCAGACGTGGCGATGCGAGCCACCATGCATGCGCTGCTCCAGGCAGAAGCGTGTCACCGGGGTCTGTAGACTTGGGGGCAGGGCCACTGACACCACCGAGGGGGACTGGAGACACATGGGGACACATTGCTCTCCATTACCTAGGACCATCTCACTGTGCCAAGCAGCCTTCTCTTATGAATCTCACTGTGTTCAGCAGTGTTCACTGTGAGCCCAGTGTAAATATCACTGTGCTGAGCAGTGTTCACTGCAGAGGTGTAAAGAGTACCTGAAAACCATACTTGAGTAAGAGTACAGATACCTTACTGTATAAATTACTCCATTACAAGTTACAAGTCACCAATTCCAATAAGACTTGAGTAAAAGTCGTAAAGTATCCAATTTTAAAAGAACTTAAGTATTTTACTCGTACTGAATGTAGGCTCAAAGAACACCAAGAAATGTGGAAAACAAGGAACTATTTATTTATGAGGCTTTATTTCCTAATATAGACATTAAATTGAACACCTCAATGTTTCAAAATGGAAGAAGAAGAAAATAGAACAAAAAGTCAGTCTCAGTCAAACTCAAATGTTCAAAAAAAGGTAAAACAATAAAAAAAACTAATAAAAAAACAAATTCAGAGCTGACTTTAATGGTGTTTTAAGGGCAATTCTTAAGGACAATTCTTAAGGGCATTTCAAGCAAAAATGGAGCACTCATAGTAATAAAATAATGACTTGAATTACACCATGATAATTATCAATATCGTTTGATATGATCATGATAAAAATATTTTTGCTATATCACACAGCCTTAATGGATGCTACCACAGTGGCTTTGCTAACTAGCTAATAACTAGTAACCCATAGGAAGCAAGCTGAACAGTCGTTTGAGCAGACAGTAATATCTGATGACGCACAAAGTCTTTAAGTGTCAAGTCTTGTTAACTACATGGAAGCTATATTATCAGCAAGAAGGTCTTTACCTAGTTACCATAGTTTTGGTAGTGAGTCGGCTAGATAGTCAGCTAACTGATGGAAACGTTTAACCAGCAGCAAAACAACCACAAACAACCATGCGGGTCCCACAGTAAAATCTTTGTGCAGTAATTGACAGTCAATAGTGTGTCTAGCAGAAACATTAACAAACAAAATAATAAATAATAGATAGCACTGTTATTACACTGGGATACTAAAGATTTTTAACTTAATGACATAACAGGTACTACAACGATTCCGTTCTGCGAGTTCGCTTTGGCTTCCGCTTTAAGACGTGTTGGACAAGAGCGTGGCTTTCGCGGTACGAATGGGCCGGGTTGGATGTGGGCGGGGTTGGATGTCCAACCCCGCCCTCCTGCAGGCTGCAGCCAGACATACTTGAAGAAATTAGCCGTGGTAGATAAAGATCCTGACTTGTCGCACGCAATCACAATGTAGCGAGTAACGGTAAGCGTCCGTTCAAATGTAGTGGAGTAAAGAGTACATATATTCAGTCACAAATGTAGTGGAGTAGAGAGTAAAAGTTGCTTATATTTTTGATACTCAGTACAAGTACAAAGTAGCCAAAAAAATATTTAAGTACAGTAACGAAGTCCATTTACTCAACTACTTTACACCACTGGTTCACTGTATGACTCTCACTGTGTTCAGCCTTGTTCACTGTATGAATCACACTGGTTTCAGCAGTGTTCACTGTGAGCCCAGTGTAAATATCACTGTGCTGAGCAGTGTTCACTGTATGACTCTCACTGGTTTCAACAGTGTTCACTGTATGAATCGCACTGGTTTCAGCAGTGTTCACCGTAAATCTCACTGTGCCGAGCAGCATTCACTGCATGAATCTCATTGTGTTCAGCCGTGTTCACTGTGAGCCCAGTGTGAAATCTCACTGTTCTGAGCAATGTTCACTGTGTTCAGCCTTGTTCATTGTGAGCCCAGTGTGAATCTCCTTGTGCTGGGGAGTGTTCACTGTGTGAATCTCACTGTGTTCAGCATTGTTTACTGTGAGCCCTGTGTAAATCTCACTTTAGCAGTGTTCACTCTTATCTCAGAGTAATTCTCACTGTGTTCAGTAGAATGCTCAGCTTGCCTCATACCTGGTAGGAGGAATATGGCAGGGTGTCCAGGATCACATGCTCCCTCCGGCCTTCCGATTGGCCAAAGAGGATGACGTCATTCTCATGGGACTCTCCCGGGTCACACTGTCCACCACCTGTCATACAGCACAAATATGTACACATTAAAAACACACACACACACACACACACACACACACAAACGAAGGCAGACTGACACTCACCCATGACAAAGTGGAAACGCAGGTTCCCGTAAGAGGTGGTGTCCAGGTACGGGGTGCAGACCTTCCTCTCCCCATCCCGCAGGAGGACTAGCGAGGATCCCGACTCCACCTCCCCACACTGGGTCCCGTACACAGCACCCGTTATATCCCAGCTATGGGGAGAACAGGACATCAGGTCAGTGGGGCACTGGACACGCCCAGCCGGACCATGGACTCTCATCGGGGGGGAGGTGGGCGGCTCAATGAGTTAGAACTCAGAAAGTTGTCAGTTCAAATTCCACACATATTCTATTATAGTCCTGATTGGTCTGGGTGGCTACATGACTCGCTGGTGGGGGCCATCCTGACAACTGTGCCCCCCCCCCCCACCCTTCCTCTGCAAGCATGCGGGCGGCTTAAAACCACAGAAAGGCTTTCCTCTCCTGCTGCTCTCCTCAGTCGGCACAGTGTGTGCTCAGGACAGGCCTGTCGGCTCGAACCACCCCTAATTGCCGCCGGTCTCCGGCTAACGAAGGCCCCCGGTCCCCCACTCCCTTGTTACCGCCGGTGACACCCCCCCGCCTGGTTCCCGTCACATCTGCCTGACTCCATGTCACCCGGAGGTCCCCCTCTCACCCGGCCGGTGCTCCTTAATGAACGTCACGCCTGTCACCCTGCGCTGGCTGCCTTCTCCGCTCTCCAGCTCTCTCTGCCCCCCTCCTCGATGGAGACCTGTCACCTACAGCTGTGCCCAGCCCTCATCCTCTCATTAAATGCCTGCCCAATACTGCCCTCCCCCCCCAGTCCCACTGCGACAGGCGAGCGCTGGGGCGGCAAGGGAGACATCTCGTTAACGGCGCCGGGACGGCCGTCATGGTGTGCTCGCTGTGGTCCGATCCGCACCAGCAACGGTGTGGCCATGTCAAGGGCCTGTCAGTTGCCTCATCCCTCCCCCTCCCCCATCGCTGGCCTCCCTGTTCCCGACATCGACGTCCCGGCAAATCAGAGACCACTTTGTCTCAGCACCTGTGACAGTGATTACTCATGCTCGGCGTGGAAGACGAGGTGAGCTGTTTCAGGAGGCACCAGCAAGCAATGGTGGGAGTTCTGGGGGCCTTAGAGCCTGGATACATATATTCCTACTGCATCACTGGGCTCCAGGGGCAATTTTATTTTTTTTTAAGTTGAGGAGCATAACTGGGACCACAATTCGCACAGAGGGGCTAACCTTAACATTAGCCAATGATATGTTTGAATCTGTGAATGGTGGGGGAGGAGGCCAATCATCTTCAATCTATGGCCCCGCCTATGTATTAACCCCTCCCTGCTGATCGCCAGATAAAGACAGTAAGAATGGAATGCTGCCTTAGCGCCCGTGTTCAGTGTCAGCTGGCATGTTCCAGCACCGCGGAATGCTGCCTTAGCGTCCGTGTTCAGTGTCAGCTGGCATGTTCCAGCACCGCGGAATGCTGCCTTAGCTCCCGTGTTCAGTGTCAGCTGGCATGTTCCAGCACCGCGGAATGCTGCCTTAGCACCCGTGTTGCACACGGCTTACCCGACAGGGGGGCTCTCAAATTCCTCCTCCCAGTAGCTGCGGCCCTCTTCACGATGCAGGTCGATGTCACGGGTAGAGGCGAAGCTGGGTCCCCCCACCTCGTTGCCATGGAAATACAGAGCGTTCCCCTCCGACTGGCAGGCATGCTGAAAGGCAGAGACGTTCACAGGCGTTACAAAGCCCAGCAGCGTGATCCAGCATCTGTTTAAGCATTTTCAGGATCCAGGAATGATGGACATCATCAATATTATGGGGCTTATGGCCCTGAGCTGCTCTGCTTCCATCTAGTGCAGAAATATGGAACAAATCAGGGTCAAACAAGGTTCTGCAGGAAAACTGCACCTTGACAGTGGCCCCTGGGAAAAAGAGCCAATTGGCAGTATCGGGCGGGTCCAGGTTCTCCTCCAGCAGGGGGGGGCGGTGAGCCGCATTCACCAGCAACACGTTATCCAGCCCCCAGCAGGATTCATAACCTTCGGGGCCAGGCTGTGGTTCCTGGGCCCAGCGGAGACGCACTCCCTCTCCGCGGGCCTGGACGGGGAGGGGGAGCAGGTGTACTACTGTGCTGCGGTTGGTGGGGGCTCTGTAGGGTGGGGAGGAGGATTCATGAGATTTAAAAACACATGGTGCAGCTACTAGCACCATCCAATTAGCATAAAATGACTACAACTCACTCAGCCCACAGGACACATTTTCAAGAAATGTAAGTTCTTTGGATTACATGAGGACTAATTGAGTTTTGGTTCCCATCCCTGTGACGTATGGTGAGGAAGCCTGACTTTAGCTCATTGGCGGTCTCATCTTACACACAACAAAAATGGACTGGGTACGTTTTGGAAATGCACTCTTCAATTCAGCAAATCAAGGAACCCACAGACAAAATGACAGGTGACAGGAGAGACGGACGAATGGGGGGGCAGAGGATTAGAGGAGGAGAAAAGGTACAAAGGGAGGGGTGTTTGTCTAGGGGAGGAGGGATAGGGATTGGGAATGAGAGGACAGAAGAAGGAGAGTAGAAAGCGCAGGATGAAGGAAGAAAAGTGGAAAAACCAACCTGATCCAGTCCAAGGCGAGCCAGTCATCAGAGCCGTTCAGACTGAAGGAGACGGTGATGCGGGGGTCTGAGTAACTGAAGCGGCAGAGGCCAGAACCTGGCAGAAGGGAAGCCGGGGTGAGCCGCACTGGGCTGACAGGACCTCGGGGTGGGGGGAGTCACACCCGCAGTGTCAGCGTCTAAAAGGTGCCCAGTTAATGTGAAGCTAAACACACAGCTGATGGACCTCAGACTGGAGTGGGAAGGCGCCCCATTGGCCTGCAGCTGGGGAGGGGGCGGAGCCCAAGACAGTAAGGATCACCACGGAAACTGCAAGTGAACCCGGCCCCACCCTGGGTGGCATCCCGTGTGGTGCACAAGCCTGTTCTGAGACCATAAATCTTACCCCAGAGCTCAAGAGCATTTCAGAAGAAACCCACAAATAAGTCTGTGAATGAGCAAATCTGGAACATTCTTAAACTTCAGACACAGCCAGGAGACTGTAAAGTGGGACAAACAGGCTATATGACAAAGCACTGACAGTTTACAAGTGTATACCAGCAGGTGTTACAGAAACTTCCAGAAATTTCTTTCAACTATATAATTATTTACTTAATCCCTTTTTATACGAGTATGAATCATGGCAGTAACCGGGAAGCAGCTCCAGGCTGTAGACGTGAACACAACACACTCACCCAGGGCAAACTGCAGGACAGATGCCATGCTGGTGTTCAGGGGCACGGTGACCTGTCAGGGACAGACACATGGAGGTCAGCCCCCCTCAGTCACACGCTCTCCACTCTCATGTATGTGTCTGTGATGTCATAAATGGTTGGAACCCAACCGTGCGGTTCTGTGTATCCGGGCAGGCAGGACAGAACTCACCAGCTCCCTCTGTCCGAAGGGCTCGCAGAAAATGACCGCCTTGCCGTGCATGAGAACACCACACTGCTCGCTCACATCGCAGTTGCTGCACTCGGACCTGCACAAGGTCATGGCAGAGGGCGAATAGTGGAGGGGATTTGGGGGGAGGGGGACACAAACCACAGCAATGACAGGTCAAACGGAGATCAAGCATTTAGGACAAACCTAAATGCAAATGAAGGCAAACATAAATGTAAATGCCTTACCAGAGGTTCGGGTCCACGGTCCCCTGCTGACTAGAGTCAAAGTCGTCACGAAGGATGGCGTGATTCGTGTGGATCTCAGCTGTGCGAGGTCAGGGATGGGCCGGGGTGAAAGACCTTTCAAATCTATTGTTGCACTTTTACTTTATTATGTTAATCAGTCATTGCGTTTAGGTTGTCTGCCGTGCTAAAAGGTAACGCTAAGCCGTACATTTTGTTATTCGGCGACAACACGCTTCAGCTGGCCCCGCGTTTAGCGATGTTGAGTGAACTTACCCAACGCAGGCCTGACCGGGGACTCCGTGGGGGCTGGAACACAAGCAGGGAACAACATCACCATGCTGCGGGGGGGCAGAGGGGTGGGGCCACACCTCGGGGAGCACCGGGCCTCAACGCGGCATGGTTAATGCATGCATTTCCTCAATCAGCCTACGCAACAGTATTTAAAGAGGGGGCACAGCAGGTAACAGGTGGAACATGCTGGGGGGGGGCGGAGTGCTGATCCAAGTGGGCCTAATCCGGTAAGCGGGCTCTTCAATTTACGGTGGGCCGCACACCTGATCCGCCTCCGCTCTAAGCCAGATCCGGTCTGAAAGTACTAAGCCTGCCCATACCCCCCCACACCCCACCCCCAAGATTAACCCGGAGAGCGTTCCTGGCGTAATCCTGCACGACTTCCCTTACTGTCCGGATATCAGGCTCCTGCAGTAAGGGGGGGTGCAGGTGGGGATTCAAAAAAACACTCTGACTGAGGGAGGGGCCGGAATTTCACGGAATTGTAGGGCCCTTTTGGAGGCTTATTGCTTATAATCTTTGAAACCTCTAAGCTCTTTTTAACATCACTTCCTGTTGTTCATAATCACTTCCTGTCAGTTAGCAAGTCATGGTGTAATGAAGAGGATTAGCCAACCTTGTTAGGGCATCCTAAATTCTCATAGTCTCTGTATACCCTCTGCGTGACTGTCTCTTCTCCTGACAGCTAAAATCCCTCTCTTTTCTCATTTACACGTCCGTTATCACTTCTGCTACCACTGCCTGCTAATGCCCACAGCTTATAATAATGCTGTTATAGCAACTGAGCAACTTAACACTCAGCATAACTCTCTGATAGTCAGAGGAGAGGGTTAACTATACCCACAGAACCAGGCAAAAGTCAGAACACACTTACTGAGAGGATAATGACCCAAAGTGCACCTTGAGTTTATGTAAGTGCTGTATTATCCTGTGAATAAGCAAAGAGATGGAGTGCTGTGACAGATGACCAGGCCCCCACACTCCCCCCACCTAAACCCTACAGGGCTGGTTTGGGATGAGTCAGGTTGAAGAGTAAGGGCAAGGGATCCAACCTGTGCCCAGAACTTGTGTAAACTCCTTCAGGACTGTTGGAGAAGCATCCCAGGTGGCTACTCCTGGAAGATGGTTGGTAGAATGCCAAGAGTCTGCAATGCTGTCATCAAAGCAAAAGGGGCTATTTTGAAGAATCTAAAATTTGACAATATTGAACCCTTCTCTTGGTCACTGCAATATTTGCCTCGAGGCCTTTTTCCTAGAAGGTGAATAACAAATGCATTAAAAGCAGCTATTTCCGGACTTTTGACTAGAATTGTACAAAGATTCAGGTAGAAAAATAATCCCAAATTATCTGCTCTCTGGGACACGTGACTCTAATCCCCATCCTCTACTTTCTGTGTCAGGAAACCACTGCTACGACATGTGCAGCTCTACCACAAGGGGGTACTATTATTCCCTCTTCAAACAGCTGAATCTGGCCAATATCTTCATACCCTTATGACAGCCTGACACTCCTGCAGAGCAGGGGCAGAAGCTCACAGGCCCTGCGAGTGTGATTTTGCTTAATTTTGCTGGGATTAAGTGGCACTGAGGGCAGGGGGTGGGACTCTCTGAGGATGTGGGTCTCTCTGAGGATGTGGGACTCTCTGAGGATGTGGGTCTCTCTGAGGATGTGGGACTCTTGAAGGATATGAGAATCTTGAAGGATATGGGACTCTCAAAGGATATGCAGCTCTTGGAGGATGACAGACTCTTTGGGGATGTGGGACTCTCAGAGGAAGCGGGTCTCTGAGGATGTGGGACTGTCAGAGGGTGTGGGACTCTGAGGATGTGGGACTCTGAGGATGTGGGGTACTCTCTGAGGATGTGGGACTCTCGGAGGATGTGGGACTCTGAGAATGTGTGACTCTCGGAGGATTTGGGACTCTCTGAGGATGTGGGACTCTCTGAGAATGTGTGACTGTCAGAGGGTATGGGTCTGTCAGAGCGTATGGGTCTATTGGAGGGTGTGGGAGAGGTGAGTAAGGCTGTTAAACTGGGTGGCTAGCCCAGATTAACCAGATGGCATTTAGGCATGTACTTAAGGTGGGGGGGGGGGGGCACTAAGCAGGGCAATCCTCCATAACACACACCATCCTATTTACAAATGTCATTTAACAAGTTAATGTGATTTAATATCTAACATGACTGTATACAGTCCTTCTACTATGATAATCACTGAAAAGTCTATGTGACATTTCCCTCTGTTGGATTGCAGGATCTCTGACATGACGTCATGCATTGCTGTTGCCCAGGGCACTTTACACTCTTAATCGGGCCATAAATGTGTCTTCAGCCGTTTGAGTGAGTCAGTGTATGCAGATAAGTGTGTGTACAGACACACAGGTGGGAGCCTGATTCATGTCCTTCAGCTTGTGCTCCAGCTGAAGGTTCTGGTGATGAGGCTCCTCTGCTGTTCCAAAGCAGGGCAGTAAATTCAAGTTGGGTGTCACAGATTGGACCTCTGACGCCTCTCAAGGTCCCTGAGAGATGAAGGATGGAAGCAGTGTCGCGGGGACAGCGCGGCGGGCCCCAGCCGATTGACGCCCCCCCCCCCCCAGGAGTTATCTGTGAACGGGACCATCCATCTGTCCCACTGGAGCTATAAAGGGCTGATTTACGGAGCCAGCGGAGATGAGAGGGGCCCAGAGGTGTGTCACCGTCGGGGTAGGGGGGGGGCAGTACCGTCAAGCCAGGCTGTAATGTATGGCCTGCACCCGAGCCCCCCCACACATACATTTTATCACACTGGGCCCGAGGAGCGGAACCACACATGGAGACAAGATGAACGGGAGACCTCAGAAAAACTCACCGGAACAATCTGGAAGGGAAAGGACTGTAACTCACAGACTGACTGCCAATGATCCAGAGAACCTGAAGCTGCCCCCCCCCCCCATCTCCTCCTGTCACACTAGGGGCGGCTGGGGTGTGGGGGCTGTCTTTACATCAATAACGGTGAGAAGCTCCATCTCTCTGTTGCTGATAAAACACTCATTCCATCTGCCTGTTCCCTCGACCCCTTCTGACCCCCCCAGGTGAGAAAAGTCACCTTGTGCTTTTGTAGCCTGGCCCAATCACCAAAGTTCCCTTCTGCATTTCTGAATGCAATTCATCTTTTGAGGACAGTTTATACAGTAATGATAGCTGCTTCTAAAATTTGGACTGAGGAAGAGTTAGGTTCCAGTCCTGTACTTAGTAACTTAGGAACAAGCCCCACGTGATTGGCTCTGTGCTCTGCCCAAGCTGATTGGCAGAAGGCAGCCACTGACACATGTGAAACCCAGCACCAGCCCCCGGGCTCATGGTACAGCTTCTGTGACCATGCATGGTGGTGGCCCCTCCCCCTTCCTAATTAAATCCCATGTTTCTGCAGTTATGTGGCGTCAGGACTGTCGACATCAGATTACACCTCCCATGTGCAGACTTGCACACACACACACACACACACACACACACACACACACACGGCAGCCACAGAGCTGGTGCAGCGTGTGCACACTGATATCCCTAATCCCACTCCCCCCGCCCCCGGCCCCCCTACGACTTTCCTGGCTGTTTCACTCACAGCACAGCATCACCTCATTTGTAATTTAAATTCCTTGACAGCATTCCACCACAACAATAAGTGACATATTATCCGCCGTCCAGGAATCAGTCCGCCGATAAGACCCCCACCCCAGCACACGTACATTTTTTATGGTGTTTGATCTTCCCTGCTGCTACTGCCACTCCGCCGATTTACGGCCTTCGCATTTCTCATTAACGCCGACTCCGCTCTCCGCTCTTGGTCCTGCATCCGCTGGAGGGGGGGGGGGCGCTCTCATCACCGCCGCCAAGGATTTACAGCTCCGCTGCCCTCCGCTTTGCTCTCTTCCTCGTGCTGTCGCTTCCCATCGCTCTCCACTCTCCACCCACTCTAACATTCGCACCCTGCTCTTCCTCCCATCCTGGGCCTCTCAGAGGAGACAAAAGCTGTGTCCCCGCATCACAACCCAGAACATGGCTACCATGCAATTCTGCCCCAGCCACAGCCCCAGAGCTGAAGAGCACCCCCCCCTCTCGGCCCTTTTTGCCCCTCCCTTTACAAAGGATTCTAGGCTTCAAGCTTCCTATCAGTGGGAGTGGAGTTCTGCCCCATAAGGCTCCACCCCTTTCTCCAACCTATGTATAAGTTAGGACCTTAAGGCTCCACCCCTTTCTCCAACCTATGTATAAGTTAGGACCTTAAGGCTCCACCCTTTTCTCCTGCTGGTCTATAAGGTATGGGCTTAAGGCTCCACCTCTTTCACCTTCTAGATAGGGGCTATAGGATCCACCCATTTCTCCCCCTAATCTACAATGCCCTTTCCCCTCCTAGGCAAATGAGCAGGGGGTGTTGCTATGAATTCAGGGCCCCCTGGCAAAATGTAACCACATCCCCCCAACCCCCCCAACCCCTTCACCACCATCTGGCATATAATATAGCATATTCAAGGGCCCTTGTAAAGTGCTGGGCCCCCTGAATCTGCCGGGGTATCCGTGCCCCTACTGCGCCCCTGGGTAGGGCCCCTGTAAAGTGCTGGGCCCCCTGAATCTGCCGGGGTATCCGTGCCCCTACTGCGCCCCTGGGTGGGGCCCCTGTAAAGTGCTGGGGCCCCTGAATCTGCCGGGGTATCCGTGCCCCTACTGCGCCCCTGGGTGGGGCCCCTGTAAAGTGCTGGGCCCCCTGAATCTGCCGGGGTATCCGTGCCCCTGCTGCGCCCATGGTAATGAGCACAGGACTGTGCTTCGGAAAGGCACCCTCTCATGGCACACAGCCGTCATATAAAGTACTTGTACTCCAGGCAAAGTCTGCAGTGCGTCTTGGGTGAATCAGTCGCTAAGGTTACAAAAACATTTTGGAAACAGACAGGCTTTTCCTCAAGGGGATATTTGCTTTCTGTTCATCTGTTTAGTATCAAGGATAATACAAGCAAATAACCGTGTAAAATTTATCTTTAGCCAAAAGAGATAAATATTCAAATCACAGCATTTTTATGGGCAATGACTGCTTTGGTGATATTAAACACATGTAACCAAAGCACATAGTCCGGGATGAAGGCATGGAGATGACCAGCTGGGTCCCAGCCCCTATTGGCAATCCACAGAAGACAAGCGCCTCACCTCCTTGCTCGCATAGCTGCTGGGCCAAAGCGTCCTTGAAGAGGATCTGTCCTCGATATGTAGCAGTAACCCTAGGAAAGACCAGGAGGAACAGAGGGAAAGAGGGAGCAGGAGAGAGGGTGACAGAGAGAGAGAGACAGAGAGATCAACATCAACCTACAGCAAGACCCTTAGAAGCCTTCCACCAAAACTGGAGGCTAATGCAGCAGATGTCACTTAATGTGCTGTGAGAGGAAAAAAAATCAGCATGGGACGGATGCTGCTGTATCTGGACAAAGAAACAGCAAAAGAAGAGGAGAGGAGAGGAGAGGAGAGGAGGAGAGGAGAGGAGAGAGGAGGAGGGATAGGATTCCACCACAGGAGGAGAGGAGAGGAGAGAGGAGGAGGAGAAGTTCAGGTGTATCGACAAAGCTGGTGTGGAAAATATCAAAAGCTCTGCAAAATGAGTCAAGACGATGATTTCAAGATGATTAATAAGTTTTACTCTGGCCCAGGAGGCTTGTAACCTGAAGGAACTCTACTGAGGCGATATACCGAATATTTACAGAGAAGATCAGAAGATCACTGAAATCCTAATCAAGATAGAAATATTCATCAAAAACATTAATATGTGGTTGTGTTTGCTGGTATTTTTATGCAGTTTGGCAACATATGATATCACAACGAGACAAACATTAAAACTGAAATCGCTTAGAAAATAAAAATAAAAGTGCAAAAACTTTTTGCTTGTTACAAATTTCCATCTGTGTTTGAGTCAGGGTGCGTGTCCTGTTTTGGCTGCATCCCGTCCTGCTGTAACAGCTGCAGGGACCTGGGGGAAAGCCCCCCCCCCCCCCCCGACCCCCTCTGCAGACGCGACGTCACCCAGGCCCTCGAGTCTGGAAGACTTCAGGCGGAGTTCAGACAGAGGGTATTACAGGAAAGGGGCAGCAGACTAGCAAGAGTGGGGAGGGCTTCAGAAAGCAGGGAACAGGCGAGAACAGCCCTTCCTGGCTTTAGACACGATGGGGTTCAAGATCCAAGACTCTTTGCTGTCATACACATGTGCACAAACATTTGTGTATCATGCCCCACACGGCTACTGGGAAATCTGGGAAATGAAGTAAAGACAAGTTAAAAAAAATATAAAACTAGAAAAAGCATTCGCTCACGATTCACACCTCTACAGTGTGTGGGACAGATTCACTGGAGAGTAAAAACACCCATAAACCAAAAAAACACACACTCATGCACGCACACGCACACGCACACACACACACATACAACGCTGGGTCTCACTTTAACTCAAAAACAAAGAAAAAAGATGTTTGGACATTGTGATTCCCTGGGCAGCTTCTTCCGGATTTGTTTTATGGAATTTAACAGTCATCTGGGAAACTTTTCAGGGAAATGTTCAGAAAACAGGCACGCATACACACACAAGGCAGCACCAGGAACTCAGACTCATCAAGTTTCCATCTATGCTGCCAAACACGCATCCCTACTTTACCCATCCATTCATCTATCTTCTGTAACTGTTTGTCCTATTCAGGATTGGAGGGGGGTTTGCAGCCTACCCTGGAGGCAATAGGGCACAAAGCAGGGAACCACCCAGGATGGGGCACCAACCCATCGCAGGGCACAATGTGGGGAACCACCCAGGATGGGGCACCAACCCATCGCAGGACATAATGCGGGGAACCACCCAGGATGGGGCACCAATCCATCGCAGGGCACAAGGCGGGGAACCACCCAGGATGGGGCACCAACCCATCGCAGGGCACAAGACGGGGAACCACCCAGGATGGGGCACCAACCCCATCGAAGGGGACAATGTGGGGAACCACCCAGGATGGGGCACCAACCCATCGCAGGGCACAATGCGGGGAACCACCCAGGATGGGGCACCAACCCATCGCAGGGCACAAGGCGGGGAACCACCCAGGATGGGGCACCATCCCCATCGAAGGGGACAATGTGGGGAACCACCCAGGATGGGGCACCATCCCCATCGCAGGGGACATACACACCATTCATTCAGACACCACTCACACCTACGGACAACCTTGTAACTCCAGTTAGCCTCAGCATGTTTTTGGCCTGTGGAGGGAAACCAGAGAACCTGGAGGAAACTCCATGATGACACGGGGAGAACCTGCAAACTCCACACTTGTGAAGCCATGGCAGACACTCAAACTGTGAGGCGACAGTGTTCACCACTGCACCACTGTGCCCAGTTTAGTAACAGTACAACAAACCAGTCCTGAAGATTAGTATTCCTCCCTCTGTCCCTGTCCCACCTTCCTGATTCTCACCTCACAGCCACGCTTTACCATTTAAATCCCACCCTTTCGATGGTGGGGCTGGAGTGGACCCAGTTCCCAAAAAATATATCCTGTGGCTGGTATAAACTGCAACAGAACATGAGGTTATGCAATAACCCGTTATGATGGGATGATAAACTGGTTTCTCAGCAACCTGACGGATTTAGTTACACCTCTTATGCTGTACCATGAACCCAAATAAAGGAGAATGGAGAAAAATTACTTATTTCAGTTCGCCAATGACCAGGACAATGAACCTTTCTAAATATTACCATGGCAACAGCAAACAAGGGCGTTTACGAGCCAGTGAGGAGGTCAGTAGCTTTCGGAGCACGGTCATCTACGTCTCGCCAGCTCGTTATGCCCGCTAAGCCGTAACCCCTGGGTTGGGGATGGATGATGTTTTTATGAATGGAGGGGCGGAGGAAAACCACTGGGAAGCTGTAATGAGGCTGTCATGGCTGCAGTTCCCTCCTAGATGCACAGTTATAGGGTAATAATCAACACAAATATAATCATCATTCCAAGACAGAATCGACTGAATGTGCATCAACACTTCCCATTTGCCGTATCAATGTACAAGCTTACAAGGTGGGGGAGGGGGGCACCAGAATGTTCCGTAGAATATTTAGTTCAGACCCCCCCCCCCCCCCCCCCCGTTTCCAAGGTCTCATAATGTTCATCTGGGGGCCTTATCGATTTTAATGGGGTGTCACTGGCAGGTACCGTTATGGTGATAAACAGCAACGCGCCCCCCTAAATTCACCCCCCCGACATAAAGTTAAACGTGAGCTGAGCTGCAGGCGCCTGCCTGCTTTTGGGGCTTTAAATGACGGAGCAGCATGGCGGAGGCGGAATGGGGCTCCATAGCTACAGGCGGAGCGTAAAATATTCACAGTGCATCACGGATGAATATTACAGGCAGCCATCTGCTGTTCAGAGTCGCTCATTAAAGCAGCAACGAGTCGGGCTCATTATGCTTGGAGGACAGCCACCTGCAGTGCCTTACCCGGCCAGGTGGGGGCGCAGTACCACCCCACTAATAACCCATAACCAATCTGTAAATGGCTTCTGGATGCCTAAATGCATGATGGGTAATGTATCAGATGCATCAGTTGAGTTTCTGGGGGTTTGGGGGAATGTTCTGCATGTTTCACTTCGGGTTACACAACGGCACAGAGACTTTCAGGTGAGCCAAAGATGGCAGGGAGCGTAAAGATCCCAGCCCTTTAACACCATTTTTTTCTTACCATTGCTCAGGCCCAGACTGTCGCAGGACGAACGCCCAGATCCTCAGTGGCATGGTGCTAATTACAGGACGTGTGGAATAATCACCTTCTGTGTCCAGGCGACAGCCACATTACGGACAGCGAACGGCGACAGCGAACGGCGACAGCGAACGCCGACAGCGCTCCATCCCTCCTTTCTGTCCCCGAGGTTTTCAATTTAAAAATGCGTCGTTTAGATTAGTTTTACGTGGCAGAATGTGGAGCGTGGTGTGAGTATTTTCAAGCTTGGGTTTGCGTGAAAGGCATCGCTCCCAAAATACAGGTGAATCGAAAAACTATAAATTAAAAACGGTGATAAGATGCATGATCTGAGCTCCTCCCTGTGCTGAACGCGGGACGGTTTCATTCCTGGCCCAGGGTGGCTGTTCAGAAAGCAGAGAGAAATACACTCATACAGCTCCACTTGTTGTCAGCAAACATCAGCATAAAAGCTGCATCCGAGGCACCGTGCAAATTTAATTAAAGCACCCGGTGTGTGAAGCCCCCCAACCCCCCCGCCAGCCACCCCCCAACCCTCCCACCCGCAGGTTTTACGAGTATCAAGGCATTTAAACATTCATCTCGCCACATAAATAATGAAGGCGGCCATCATTAATCTGTAAGTACCTCCTGTGCGACGATTAAAAGGGATGGGGGGGCGCATGAGAGGCAAAAAAAACCTGGTAATTACATCCATATTTCAGAAGTGATTAAAGACTAATCTGGATTTGGTATTTATGAATAAAACATGTGTGTAATGAAGAGGGGGGTCATGGAGGAACAAGGTGCTTAAATATTTACTAAACGGGGGCCAGCCTGCCGCCTCTGCCCTCTCCGCACGGATCCAGCAGATAGCAAGTCCACACTGAACGTGCCAGAGACACAGTCAGAATAAACCATTAACCCTATAAAGTGTTGGCCCTCTCTACTTGGGAACCCACACCTTAACAGGTTGGGGGTGTGAGTCGGTGAAATATGCAGGGGCGGGGTCAATATGAAGACAAACTCACACCCCACACATCCATGTCAGATGTGGGAGATTAGTGTGTCGCTGCCATTTGGTCCCCACAATGTAATATAAACTTAATTCTCTCTCTCTCACACACACACACACACACACACAATGAGTGACATTCTGGCCATCTCCACAGAGCCACATCCAAGCCATCTCCACAGAGCCACATCCAAGCCATCTCCACTGAGCCACATCCCAGCCATCTCTACTGGGCCACATCCCAGCCATCTCTACTGGGCCACATCCCAGCCATCTCTACTGAGCTACATCCCAGCAATCTCCACTAAGCAGTATCCAAGCCATCTCTACTGAGCTACATCCCAGCAATCTCCACTAAGCAGTATCCAAGCCATCTCCACTGAGACACATCCCAGCCATCTCTACTGGGCCACATCCCAGCCATCTCCACTGAGCCATATCACAGCCATCTCCACTGAGCCACATCCCAGCCATCTCTACTGAGCCACATCCCAGACATTCCCACT